AGCACGGGTAGTTGTTTTTTGGGGTGATGGTGTTGGGGGGGGGGGGGGGGGGGTATTGAAAAATCCTGGGGAAAAACAAACCTATATTTTACTGCTGTTTGTCCTTGTTAGAGAAATTTCTCCATAACAGAAAGATTTTTCACTCTTATTGTGGACTCTAGGGAGCAAGTGAAATCTTCCAGCTGGACATACTCACAGTGGTTCTTCTCCCTCTCTCCCTCCATGTTGGCTGGTGTTCCCCTTTAGCCTTTCCCTAAAGAACCTTTAATTCCGCCCAGGCTGCTGATCAATGCCACCGATACAAAGTACAACAAAGCCGGCGTATTCTGTGGCATACAAAGAAGGATTTCTGTACCCGATGCTGGGGAACACAATGTATCACTATCTTCCCCTGCACATACTGTTTCCATTGGCACAAAGAGCAGACAGTCTATGCGCTGGCACTAGAACAGATGTAAGTTCCAGCATGACGTCACACCCATTCCCACTACAGGCTGAGATCCCTGCAAGTGGACGGGTTGTTCATCCCCACCCTGCGTTCATTTATCACGCCCTATAAACATCATGCGGCACAGTCTGGGCAGGCTCTGTGGTTGAGCCATCAATCCTCCATTGTAACAGTGTAATCAGTACAAGCCACTTCCAGCTCCGCTCCTCTGACAGATCCCATGTTGGGCTGCGATTTCCACACCAAAAAAAAAAAAAACCTACTCATTAATGAACTACTAAAGCCAAGTAATATCAATCAGTCCAGTATAAGCTGTGGCTATGTTAAAGGGTACTTATACCCCAGAGATGGGCAACCTCAGCATTCCAGCTGCAGTGAAACTACAAGGCACTGCAAGACTGGCAGCCACAGACATGACTCCCAGAGGATGACGAATTATGGATTTGTAGTCTCACCAAAGCTGGAGTTCCCCGGTTGCCTACCCCTGGTATACCCCATGAGATCACCGAGTGTAAAATAAGGAATGTAAATAAAGGTTATATCACGATTCGTCCATATTCAGGGTGTAACACCAAACATGGTCAGATGGGCTACCCCCATACCTTTCTCGCCCGATTCCCTGAATCATGGGGTTCTTCTCCGCACAGGCTACTTCTGTATTTTGAAAACTGACCCACCCGCACAGCCACAATGGCGCTGCTGAATGACGGCTGATAATTTTCCACCGGACTGTGTCAACTTTTTTGGAGCCGGCTGTGCCATCAAGGTTCGAATTTCAATCGACCCAAATTCGAGCAGTCTATGGTGACCTTAACTGTAGGCGATTCTTCAACAGAACACCACACTGGACAGTACATTCAGGCAGGGGTGTGGAATTTTTTTTTTTTAAAACTACTTGTCCAAGGGCTAAAGCGGGGGCCAAAGCTACTTGTCCCAATACAAAAAAATAGTTTTATTCAAAACTAAGGATGCACCAATACCGTTTTTTTGGTATCGAGTACCGATTTTTTGCTTTTGGATCTCGCCGACACTGAATACTAATACCGGTGCTACTTTCACCAGCTCATACCCAGCATTGACTGATCATTTTTCACTGGTAGGGCTTCTAGTAAAAAAAAAAAAAAACTTTACAACTGATTCCGGTCTGTACAACCACGGGAGACAACACACCAACTCAGCATGAGGGGCATTTCTATATCCAGTATCCGAAATATACACTGTCAGGGGTGTGGAAATTTTAAAAAAAAACTACTTGTCCAAGGGCTAAAGTGGGGGCCAAATCTACTTGTCCTTCACGACAATCTACTTGTCCCAATACGAAAAATAGTTTTAATCAAAACTAAGGATGCACCAATACCGGTTTTTCGGTATCGAGTACGAGTAACAATTTTTTTGCTTTCGGATCTCGCCGACACTGAATACTAATACCGGTGCTTCCGCTGACATAGAGCAGGCTTCCCTGGTAATCAGGAAACCGGGCAGCAGGTAATGACATCCCGCCCAGGTTCCTGATTGCCACGGAAGCCGGCTCCATGTTGTTTGGCCTGCTTGATTGCGATTGGCCACACAACGTACATTCAGCTCTGCTTGTCCGGAGCCGGGCTGAATGTACATTAAAACTACTCGCCCGGCGCCCGAAACTGCATGTCACGGGCGTCGGGCGATAGGAATTCCACACCCCTGTACACTGATCTCCCTCCACAATGAGAGCTCCTTTCCAACAGGAGCCTAAACACAGAGGATTAATTAATCATGATCCCACCCATGGTAAGCACAGTACCACACTGCAACATTACTCTAGATACTGGAAGCATTTTATTTGAACTGATTAACCACTTGAAGACCGCGGTGTTACACCCCCTTCCTGGCCAGGCCATTTTTCAGTATTCAGCGCTGCGGTACTTTGACTGACGTTTATTCCGTCATGCAGCGCTGTACTGAAATGAATTTAAGAAAACCTGCCTACGGTGTCCATTTTAGGACATACCTTAGTTTCCTTCTTCACCTTGCTCGGGAGGAGCCCCGCCAGCCCCCAAAGCTAACGTCACCTGCACACTGAAGTGCAGGAAGATCCCGAATGACTAAACCTGGGCAGATTGCATTGTCTGCCCAGGGAACCCTGCACACCATACAGCACTGAGACCAGGGGAGTAAGAGGGTGAGGAGAGACAGAAGAGGGCTGGTGAATAGCACCCCAGGTAAAAACAAAAGAAAAAAACTTTAACCCTGCTGCTTCCCGCCCCACAAGGCTACAGGGAGTACCCCAGCAAATGCATGACC